TCACATAATTCACAATAAAACATTTAAGAAAAAAAAAAAAGTTTGTGGTGGGGAATTCAGACTGCGGGGTTCCTTGGAGAACTCAGCCACAGGGAAGTCACCTCTGGGGTCTCTTCCCTAGAGGGTGCCTTGCTTAGGGCCCTAATATTTTCACTGAGATTTGAAGAGGAAGGAGAAGAACTAGGCATCCCAGCAGCCTGAAGGTGCTCACACCTGGGACCCCTATCCTTGCTGTCTGAATGGGGGTGAGGATCTCAGGATGGAAGCCCCTCAGCTCATAGGACTGCAGACCCTTGCTCTGAGCTCAGGTTTCAGACCCCGCTGGTGCATTAGTTGTACTACAGAGTTAGAAAAAAACACTCTACCCCTTCTTCCCATCTGGGAACACTATGCCTTTGGGAAAGGTTTGGTCAAGGAGAATGTAGCTGCAGAGAGCAGCAGTCACCCAGGTCAGACCCAGGGCTCCACACAAGCCATGTGACCTCAGATGTTACGGATTTGGATGTTGAGGGAACACTGTAATATATAGCTGTATATACATACCTTTTCACATAGTATCCAAATCACATGAAGTCCTATTTTACAGAACACATTGTGGACGTTAAACAACACATACCTATATATTCACAGAGTTGTGCACCACTAGTGGTTACGAATCGGACTGCGAACCGCAAGGCCAGCAGTTCGAAACTATCAGCTGTTCCGCGGGAGAAAGATGAGGCTTTCTGCTCCCGTAAAGATTTACAGCCTTGGAAACCCTGTACAGGGTAGTTATGAGTCAGAACTGACTCCACGGCACATCACAACAACAACATCTATTTAATATGCAAAGACTTCCTAATGTGTGGATCATGACAGACTGTGGATGACATGGCCAGAATGAGTATTCCAGAACACTTAATTGTGCTTATAAGGAACCTGTACATAGACCAAAAGTCAGTTGTTGTAATAGAACAAGGGAACATTGAATGGTTTAAAATCAGGAAAGGTGTGTACCAGGGTTGTATTCTTCAACATATTTATTCAAATTGTGGTATATGCATACAGTGGGATAGAACAGAAATAACAGGAAGAATAAGGCATTGATACACATAATAACATGAATGAATTCCAAAATAATCACACTGGGTGAAATAAACCAGACAAAAAAGAGAATATACTGTATGTTATAGACTGAACTGTGTTTTCCCCAGATATATGTTACAAATCCTAACTCCACTTGGGAATAGATTTTATTATGTCAATGAGGCAGTACTCTTTAGGGATGCCTTAAAGCAATCTCTCTCGAAATATAAAAGAACAGATTAAGCAAAGAAGTGAAGGACAGTTGGGATGAGATAGATGCCATGGCACATGAGGGTGGTCAAGGAGCAAGGAACCGAAGATGTTTCTCTAAGGACCTTCCTCCAGAGCCAATACAGAGAGAGTAAACCTTCCCCTGGAGCTGGTACTATCAATTCAGGCTTCTAGCCTCCTAAACTGTGAGGAAATAAATGTCTGTTCGTCAAAGTCCTCCACTTGTGGTATTTCTCTTATAGCAGCACTAGGAAATGAAGACATTGATTCATTCCATTTATGTAAAATTCCAGGAAATGCCAACAAAGGTATAGTAATGAACAACAGATAAGAGGTTGCCTGGATACTGGGAGGGTGGGAAGAGGGATAACATAGGGACACAAGGAAACTTTTTGGGGTGATGGATACGCTCATTTTCTTGATTGTGGTGGTGATATCATGGGTAGATACACATGTCTAAGTGTATCAAATTGTATAGTTTGAAATTGTGCAATTGAATGTCAGTTATACCTCATGGACGCTGTGGGAAAACAAAACAAAAACAACAATCCCTAACTCTGGATTGTTGTTTTTGTTTTGGAGCCCTGGTAATGTAGTTGGGCTGCTAAGCACACAGTCATCAGTTCGATTCTACCAGTCGCTCCTCAGGAGAGAAATGAGCCTTTCAGTTCCCATAAAGATTTATAGCCTTAGGAACCCTATACAAGGTCACTAAGCATCAATACCGACTCGATGGTACACAACCAACACCACCACTGCCAACTCGGAACTAAGTCAACCACAAGCTCAATTTGGCATATGACCTCATTCATCTGAAATATTTAGAATAGGTAAATGTGTAGAAATAAAAGCTGCCAGGGGTGGAAAGAAGAGTGGAAGGGGAAGTCATTGTTTAGGATGTAGTGAGTTTCTATTGATAGTGATGAAAAATTTGGCAATGGATATCGGAGATGGTTACGCAACATGATTAATATAATCGATACTCCTAAATCGTACATGTGAAAGAGGTTTTAAATTGACAAATGTGTTATATACCTTTTTACAACAACAACAAAAAGCCTTTAAAAAATTAAATCTTAATGATGATGTGGAGAGATGGAACAGCTGAGGACTCTAGACTCATGGAGGGAGAGGGACTGTGTGCTGGTGGCCAGGAGGCAGGCTTGCAGGGTATGTATGCCCTTTGGTTGTTTGAATGATGGTCTATCCCTGAGTGTTTTGGTGTACATCCCCCCCAAAAATAAACAAAACAAAACAAAAAACAGAGGAAATAGAAGCAAATACTGTTGAATGATGATGCATGGAGGGGATTGTAATCATTGCAATGAAACGAAATAAGATAGGATGAGTGTAAAACAGATGTTCCCCCATGTAAACTATCACTCAATTCGCAATAAAATTTTTAAAATGAGAGAGAGAAAGTCACTGTTATGATTAAGAAGAAAAATAAAATAAAAACAAAGATTTTTTTGTAGTTACCAAGTTTGGGAAACGGAACGTACTCTAACTACCTCTTGCAAGATCTAAGAGGCTCAGCAGGTGACACCTAGCGTCAGGAAATCCTAGAATATAGGAACCTGCTTTAGCTTTGTTGAACTCAGCATGTTTCAATTATAATTGCACACAGAACCCTCTGCCCCAGCATCCAGTGACATACTATGGGGCCACGTCAGAAACATGCCTTAAACACTGCAGGTGGACAATCAAGGCTTGATGTGGGCTTCTGGGATATCCCAGTGACTCATGCAGACTGGGCACTTGATCACAATGCACAGGAAAGTGTGTGTGTGTATGTGTGGGGTGTCATTCATTTCCCCTGTGAGCCAGTCATTCCATCCCTTCCTGCCTAGATCTCTGGGGGTATTACCTGGTAGCTTCCAGAAGGCTGGTCCTCCATTGTCCCTGGGTCCGGCCGCCTCCCCTGCTGGTTTTTAGGCTCTTCCTCTGAGCCCCACTGCTGTAGCTCATCAGATGTCACAGAGACCCTAGGAGACTGCAACTCTAGCTTGTTCCCCAGCTTGATCTGACCCTGGCTTGCTTGCAGCTCCTCAGGTCCTTCGTTGGGGACCCAGGATGATTGCTTCTTCCTGGAGAGAAAGACAGGCAGGCAAGTCTCAGACCCCAGACCAGGGCATGCTTTCTATTTTCAGACTCTCTCTCCCCCTGCTCCCCACAGCACCTGCACAGGGGGTGCATTTAATGGCTGGAAAATGAATGAATGGTTGACATGAATTCCTCAGATCCCAGGTACCTTGATATCAATGCTTAGGGGAGTTAGGATTTAAATGTTTGTGTTTTGATCTTATTTATTCCTTTTCAGAAAAAAAAAAAAATCACCAATAACTGGGGTTCAGAAAAGTTGAAAGATTTGAGATAAAGCTAACAATGATGACTCAGAATTTGCATCTGTGTCTATCTGCCTTTATTTTAAATATTCTGGAATAACCTCACTTTAGATATTCTGGAATATTTCCTCTGTGGTGGTGGTGGTGGTGGTGGGCCTTGGAGTCGGTTCAGACTCAGTGGTTTCCAGGGCTGTAAATCTTTATGGGAGCAGAAAGCCTCAACTTTCTCCCATAAACTACCACTGGTAGTTTCGAAGCCCCGCTCATAACCATTATGCTACCAGAGGTGATATATATATATATTGCAGTTGAGTTGATTCTGACTCATAAGAACCTTATATGTTACAGAGCCAAACTGCTCTACAGGGTTTTCTTGCGTGTTATCTTAGTAGAAATCAATCTCCAGGGCTTTTCTTTCATGGTACCACTGGTTGGGTTTGAACTGAGAAGCTTCAGGTTGGCAGTCAAGTGCAAACCATTTGTGTCAGCTAGAGACTTTATCATAATAAAATATATTATGATGCATTGTAATATATTACATATACAATGCATGTCTTCATTCAGAACATGCCATTTTCAACATCTTATCAACATGACTAGGTTCCAAAGACCAAGTAATTATGCAAAAATGGAGGTTGGCCATATCATATCACAAAATAAAAGATGACTACATCACTACAAAATTACATCATATCATAATTGCCAAATTATATCATATTCTAATTGCCAAATCATGGCTCAGCCAAGTTGACACATAACCTTACCCATCACAGCCAGTGTGTTAATCTTGTCTCACGCCTCAGTGTCTGTTACTGCCAGATATACATCATTAACATACAAAATAGTTGGATAGCAGATTTTTTGCTATTGTCATAGATGTAAAATGTTGAATGACAAGCTAGTCAATAAGTGGGGAGTAGATGTAATTGCATAAATTTACAAAGTTATAAGCATATCTGCTTTTTTCAATAAACATTATAGCTTAACTTTTTCTCATGTCATAAATCCTTCATAAACATGCTTCACAACAGAAGTATAATATTCCATGTTTCAAAGATAGCCATCATTTGCTTAACCATTTCTCAAGTGCAGACATTTAGGGGATTTCCAGTGTCTTTGTATCTAAAATAACCTGCCAGTGAAAATCTTTGTGTGAAAAGCTTTACTGGAATCATCAGTTATTTCTTTAGGGCAGGTTTGGAGAAGCAGATGAAGGGAAAGACAGCTTTAAGGTGGTTAAGACCAATTGCCAAGTTGTTTAAACAGAGATGTTGAATGGTTTGCATTTCTATCGGCACAGTACGCTGTTGCAGAGCAATGGGTTTCTCTTTTTATATGGTCTTCCTAGCCATGGTCTTGTAACTCCCACAAAACGATTGGGTGGTTGTTGTTGTTATTGTTAAGTGTGTTGTGGAGTTGGTTCTGACTCATAATGACCCTGTACAGGGTTTCCAAGGAGCCGCTATTGATTTTGAATCACAGACTTTGCCGTTCAAATGGACCTTACGGTCCAGTGCTTATCCTACAGTGTCACATCAGGACTCCAAATGATTGGGTGGGGTTATGCAAATAAGATGTCTGTGGCCCACCAAGGGGATTGGTCCATTTTGCCATCTCCCTAGGTTTAAAAAGTCAATCCCACAGGTTGAGTGGAGGGCCTCACTATCATCAAGAAGACCCAAGAGCTGAGCATGTTCTTTAGACCTTATTGTTGTTAAGTGCCGTGGAGTGGGTTCCAACTCATAGGGACCCTGCACAAGGTTTCCGAGGTTGTAAATCTTTACGGGAGCAGAATGCCTTATCTTTCTCCCGCGGAACCGCTGGTAGTTTCGAACTGCTGACCTTACGGTTCACAGCCTGATTTGTAACCACTACGTTACCAGAGCTCCTTCTCAAAATAGGGTCCCTATTTTGAGAAGTTCCTTGACCCAGGAGATGAAGAGAGCACAGTAATGCTGGAGGGGGCACAGGGCAGCAACAGCACAGGACTGGCAGCCAACCGCAGTGGACTTGCCAACCCACAGAGTAAAAGAGTTGAGTGCTTTTGGGTAGGAGGCTTTCCAAGGATTCCAGGCACTTATCAGTAGATCTAAAAGCTGTAACACTTGCCCAAATAGGGTAGGAGCTGAGAGCAAGGACCAGCGATGGGCATAGCCTCAAGTGAGGCCAGCCTGACTGCCTGTGGGCACAGTTGAGGAGTTGAAAGGTTAGAATCTGTCCTGATCAACAAACTGTCTCCTGCACTGTTCCTATTACTTCCAAGTTGATCCTGATGCTGAATTGTAAACTTTGCTTCCTTTTTGCTGTTATCATTAGGTGTCATTGCATCAGTACCCACTCATAGCGACCCTATGTACAACAGAACGAAAACACTGCCTAGTCCTGCACCAACCTCACAAATGTTGCTATGCATGAGCCTATTGCTACTGCCACTGTACCAATCCATCTTGTTGGGGGGGTCTTCCTCTTTTTCTGCAACCCTCCACTTTACTGGTCCCTCCTGATGGTATGTCTGAAGTACGAGAGATGAAGTTTGGCCATCCTGGCTTCCAAGAAGCATACTGGCTGTACTTCTTCCAACACAGACTTATTTATTCTTTTGGCAATCCATGGTAATTTTAATATTTTCCTCCAACACCATAGCTCAAATGCATCAATTCTTCTATGATCTTCCTTATTCACTGTCCAACTTTCACATGCATATAAGGTTATTGAAAATACCATGACTTGGATCAGGCACACCTTAGTCCTCAAATTGACATCCTTGCTCTTTGATACTTTAAAGAGGCCTTGTACAGAAGATTTACCTAATGCGATACGTTGTTTAATTTCTTGACTGCTGTTTCCATGAGTGTTGATGGTTGATCTGAGCAAAACTAAGTCATTGACAAATCCAATCTTTTCTCAATTTATATGGATATTATTTATTGGTCCAATAGGTAAGATTTTTGTTTTCATTACGTTGAGATGCAACCTATACCAAAGGCTGTGACCTTTGATCTTCATCAGTAAGTATTTTAAGCCTTGTTGGCTTTCAGCAAGCCAGGTTGTATCATCTGCATATCACAGGTTGTTAATGAGTCTTCCTCCAATCCTGAGGCCATGTTTTTCTTCATATAATTCAGCTTCTTGAATTATTTGCTCAGCATACAGGTTGAATAAGTATGGTGAAAGAATACAACCCTGGCACACACTGCTCCTAATTTTAAACCATTCAGTATTTCCTTGTTCTGTTCCAACAATTGCCTCTTGGTCTATGTACTCATTCCTCATGAATACAATTAAGTGTTCCAGAATACCCATTCTTTGCAATGTTATCCATAGCTTGTCATGATCAACACAATCAAAGCCCTTTGTGTAGTCATTAAAGCACAGGTATATATCTTTTTGTTATTATCTGCTTTTAGCCAAGATCCATTTGACGTCAGCAATGATATCCCTTGTTCTACGTTCTCTTCTGGATTCGGCTTGAACTATTGGAAGTTCTTTGCCAATGTATGGTTGTAGCCATTTTTGTATTATCTTTAGTAAAATTTTACTTGTATACAATATCAATAACCTTGTCAGTTGAGTTCCACATTCTGTTGGGTCACCTCTCTTTGGAATGGGTACAAATATGTATCTCTTCCAGTCTATTGGCCAGGTAGCTGTCATCCAAATTTCTTGGCATTGATGAGTGAGTGCCTCCAGTGCCACATCAGTTTGTTGAAAGACTTCAATTTTTATTTCATCAATTCCTAGAGCCTTGTTCTTTGCCAATTCCTTCAGTGCACCTTGGACTTCTTCCTTCAGTATCAGTGGCTCTTGATCATGTGCTACCTCTTGAAATGGTTGAACATTGACCATTTCTTTTTCGTTTGCTTCCTTAATAAACCCCCAGTTGTGAGTATGGTGTGTGAGTTCTATGTAGTCATCACTACAAGTTATCTAACCCAGTAGAGAAGTAGAAAATGCCATTAGAGGAATGGCTGGTGTCAGAATTTTTTTTTTTTTTTTAACGTTTGGAGAGAGGAAGTATGTCTGACCTCACCTTATAGGAACCAGCCTTGGGTTCTCATCCCCCATGGTGAAGTTAGAGACTTCAGACACTATTGTTTTACAGCTCTACCTGTGTTAGGTAGACTCAAACCTGGCTTTGATTCATTCCCCTAACTTCACCTAGAAGAGATTCTTTAGGGTTAGAATGAAATTTAATTGATAAAATTGATTTGTCATTGCTATTCCTATTCAAGAGACCAAACGACGTATTGCATTAGGCAAATCCGCTGCACAAGACCTTTTTAAAGAGTTGAAGAGCAAAGCTGTCAGCTTGAGGACTAAGGTGCGCCTGACCCAAGCCATGGTGTTTTCCAATACCCTCATAAGCATACGAAAGCTGAACAGTGAATAAGGAAGACTGTAGAAGAATTGATGCTTTTGAGCTATGGTGTTGGAGGAGAATATTGAACGTGCCGTGGGCTGCCAAAAGAACTAATAGATCCATTTTGGAAGAAGTGCAGCCAGAGTACTCCTTGGAGGCCAAGATGGCTAAACTTCATCTCTCATACTTTGGACATATTGTCAGGAGGGGCCAGTCACTGGAGAAGGATATCATGCTTGGTAAGGTGGAGGGTCAGAGAAAAAGAGGAAGACCCCTAACGAGATGGACTCAAGCGTGGCAAGAGTAGTGAGGTTAGCCCAGGATTGGGCAGTGTTTCGTTCTGGGGTGCATAAAGTCGCTATGGGTCGGTTCCGACTTGATG